CCCCCCCCCATAGTATGCGCTATTATACCAAAGACGCGTGACGCATGGACGAGTGGAGTGAGGATAGCTGATTACGGAAACCTCACAGGTTGAGTGATGTGGGAGATTGCCGGACACATAGACGTGTTGAGTGTCATACACCCCCCCCCATAGTATGCGCTATTATACCAAAGACGCGTGACGCATGGACGAGTGGAGTGAGGATAGCAGTTTACGGAAACCTCACAGGTTGAGTGATGTGGGAGATTGCCGGACACATAGACGTGTTGAGTGATTATAGCTGTATACTGAAACCTCAAGAGCTGAGTGAGGTTTGAGATTGCCAGACACATGGACGGGTTGAGTGGGGACAGCTGCATACTGAAACCCCACGGGCTGAGTGATGTTGGAGTGCCAGACACATGGACGCGTCGAGTGAGGATAGACACATACTGAACCTCACAGGTGATTTGTATTGGAGATTGCCGGACACATAGACGTGTTGAGTGAGGATAGCTGCATACTGAAACCTCACAGATGGATTGGCTTTTAAGTATGCCAGACACATAGACGCGCTGAGTGGGGATAGCTACAAACTGAAACCCCACGAGTCGAGTGATGTTGGATAGTGGCAGACACATAGATGCTTTGAGTGAGAATAGCTGGATGTTGAGACCTAACGGGTTAAGCGACGTTTGCGACTGCCGGACACATAGACGCTTTGAGTGAAGAAAGCTGCATACTGCAACCTCGCAGGTTGATTTTTATTGGAGATTGCCGGACACATAGACGCTTTGAGTGAAGAAAGCTGCATACTGCAACCTCGCAGGTTGATTTTTATTGGAGATTGCCGGACACATAGACGCGTTGAGTGAGGATAGCTGTATACTGAAATCCACACTAGTTGCTATAGTGAGGGAACAATTCGAGAATGCAGTACACATGGACCCGACCCCCAACCCGTACCCGAACCCGCCCTGAAAAATAGAGGCCATGCGCCCCCCCCCCCCCCCCCCCCCCCCNCAACCTCGCAGGTTGATTTTTATTGGAGATTGCCGGACACATAGACGCGTTGAGTGAGGATAGCTGTATACTGAAATCCACACTAGTTGCTATAGTGAGGGAACAATTCGAGAATGCAGTACACATGGACCCGACCCCCAACCCGTACCCGAACCCGCCCTGAAAAATAGAGGCCATGC